TCATTCACTCTGTCAGATTATGGTTGTTATTATTTGCTCTTCACTCTTTAAACGATAAAGAGAAAGCATGCAAATGACCCTTGACTACAGACATAACCCTCTGCCTGCAACCACCCTGCCTGCGTCCTTGCACACAGAATAAAAGAGGATGCTAAACACAGCCTTTGAAATTCAGGAGGATAATTGATTCTCTGACGTGTAGAAGCCCACAGGACTCCTGAGGGAGCACAGGTATAAAGAGAGGAGATGCACCTCCCTGGCAGCCAGAGGACAGCTGAGGGGAGATCCGAGGGTGTCCTCCCTGCTCAACGCGTGTCCCACGTCCTGCCCTGGAACTGCGCAGAGGGGACAGACACGGCAGGGCTCACAGAAGCAGCTCTAGAGAAGAAGTTGTATTTGCAACAGGGGAAGGAAACACCTGAGCAGAAGCCCATCTAGGAAGAGCTTGTTTTCCAAGGGAACGGTGAGTGTGAGTCTCTGTATGTGCATTTAACAAGATAACGTCTATTTGGAAATGGGAGAGAGTTAAAGTACAGTGAAATGCAGTCAAAGCTGGCATCAGTAATGATCTTTGCCGGGTACAATGTCCTTTGTACCATACAAGATTTTTTTTGTACCAAGTTATAGAATGAAACAATAATTGAACTATAGAATAAGTACAAATCAATAGGACAATCCTATAGACGAGCCTTGTCAAAACACAGTAGATGTTTACTAGCTATAGCACAGGTTTCCTCTTTTGCTATACTAATGCGAGTTCCTTTTACCCTGGAAAATGAACACTGTTCTACTCACCCATCAATGAAACTGTGTTTGAGCCGAACCAAAGCGTGAGGAGAAACGCAACGGTGTGTTACAGGTAACGTGAAGCCAGCTACAGCGAGGCAGAGTAAGGCACTTAAAAGGATTTCTGCTTTTAAAATGTAGTATTTCAGAGTATAAAAGTCTGAACTTGACAAAACCGCAGGCACAGTAAAAGCTTCCTTTCATCTAAACAGTGGTATTTTTAAGACTGATTGGGTTCAGGGTTCAGAAACAGGAAGCGATGGTTACCCCATCTCTCTGTCACAAGGCTGCTGTGAGCGTTGCACAGGATGGAATGAAGCTATTACACTTTAGCTGCTGGAATGATGCTAAAAGCTCTTCATCTTAAGGGAATTTATTTATTAATCATTTTTTTCACATGCTGTCAGAATGGAAAGTAAGGTGTCCTCACCTCAGGAGAATTTTGAAGGTGACAAGGTTTTGCAGAGCTGTCAAGCTGCCTGTATGCAGGGTGACGCTTCAATTCCCTGGCTTCTCTGAAATAGAAGACACTTTGGGGAAGGGGTGTAGGACTTTCATTTCAGGCTTCTTCCCACGGGGAAAAAAGGGAGACAGAAATACCCAAGAAGCAGACTGTAGTGAAGGAAGAGAAGACAAAGCAAGGTAGGGGAAGAAAGGCAAAACCAGAAAAAAAAAAATTGTAAAGAAACTAATAGCAGAGAAGAGGAAAAAAAAAATATCTCTAAAGGGACAAAAAGTGATTCTGGAGGAAATTGTAAAGAAACTAATAGCAGTGAAGAGGAAAAAAAAAATATCTCTAAAGGTCTAAAGGGACAAAAAGTGATTCTGGAGGAAAACCCAGCATTCAAAGAAAACAAACCAGATACAGAAAGAAAGTGGCAATCAGGGCTCTGTCCTAGGAAGAAAAAAAGAGAAGTAGACAACATCGGACTAGGTTTTCTTTTAATTTACATGAACATTTCACTTCTCAGCTCACAGAGCAGCTTTCGTGGTACTGATTAAATCTCCTGGTTGGTGCTTTCTATAGATGCTAGTGCCACAGTCTCCTGGTACTCCCCAACAGATGCTTTAGATCATTTCTATCTAGAAAGAGATCTGATCTGGGATTTGTCTTGAAGATATTTAGGGGAGAGAGGCACAAAAGTAGCATGTTTTTTAAGTTCAAATGAAAAAGAAGGAAGAAAAAAAAGGTTGGAAACTTGCTCTAAAACCAGGAGCTCTGCAAGTCTCTCTCAAGTCACTTTTTTGCTTCTTCTGAGCGTTCCTTGGCTCTCTGAGGGGCAGACTGGTGCTGTAAGAAACCAGGTATCAGAGATAAGGGATGCCACCCACACGTTTGCAAGAAGCTCTGCTGGAGCTGGGAGCAACAACACTGCTCCCAGGGGAACAGATGGGGAAGCTGCTGGTCCCCAGCTGGGAGCAGGAGCAGCTGGAAACAGGGACTGGGCTGAGAATGAGTTTGTGATAAGAAACCCCATTTCTTAGTGCACAACCTTGCCCATGTCTGTCCATGCACTTCTAACACTGCCAATAATTCTGTTATTAGCTTCCATGGTATGAAGATCGGACCCACCAGTATGAGCACCAGTCTTTAATTAGCCTTCCCCCCTTTCAGGAGAGTGGGCAGCTACGTCCCAGCAGTAAAACAGAGCTCACTGGTGATGCTTCCCACCAGAACAGGCCCTCTCCTGCCACCACCATCAGTAAAACCCACTGCTTGCAAAGTTCACTTGCCTAATTAGAAGCCCAACCAAACCCCTTCCATTTGGAAACTGTTCCTTTTGCAACCAAGTATTGTTATATAATTGAAAGGGGTTTTTTTAAAAAAATAAAAAGTCTGAAGTGTTTTTTTCTGTTATGGAGATCAAACATCTTTCTGCTCTTGTGTAAAATAAGATAGGGAATGGAAACTTGATATTTTAAAGATTTCTATCCACATTCTTAAAGAATCTTTTTTGAGCAAAAGATCAATCGCTTTCAATGAAAACTCAGGAAGAGCATTCACTGGAACTCCTTCCTACTGTCCCTCGCTTCCCATGACAAAAGCATGGCATTCAGCTCCAGAGGGTGCGTGACCTCAGAGGACTCTGTCCTGAGTCACTCGCAGCACTTCAGCCAGCGCCAGGACACGCAGCACGGAGGGCAGACACACAGGGCTCAGGTCCATCTCACCTTCCTCCTCTCCACACAGCAGTGGTTCAGCTCTCACAAAGGGATGTATTTTGGTCCAGCCGCCCCCTCTCCCCAAGTACAACAACTCAAGGAACAGTCTGTTTTCTTTGGTTAACCAAGCTCAGCACTGTTGTCTCCAATGAACAGGCTTGCCAGGGTTACCTGTGGGCCAGTGTTACCCCTCTGCTCAGGAGTTTTATTCCTATTTCCCTCCCTATTCCCAGAGTTTCTCCCCAATCTCTGGGCAGCCAGCAGGCAGCCCAGTCAGTTGTTATGCACAGACCTGTGCCATACAGCCATGGGAGCAGACACACGTGCCCAGGAGAGCAGAGGGCAGGAGAGGTACCAGGGGCTGGCTGCAGCAGTGAGGTTGCTTTTGGCAGCCCCTGCTACCTGCTGCCCTCCAGCATCACAGGTATTTACAGCCTGTGCAGTGGTCTCTAGGGCTCAGCCCAGCCTGAGAGCTCTCCTTCAACCTCAGTGTGGGGGACAGGTCAATAAGTGGGTCCCACAGGGTGAAACCCTGCTGATCAGCCCTGCCTCCTGACCCAAGGGGGGAAATCAGCTCCCTGAGGGGTCACACACAGCCACTGCCTCCAGGAATTGCAGGCCCTAGCAAAGACCTTGCCATATCAAGACATGAAGCACCATAACCACACACAGAAGCACACTTCCAGTCCTTTTGTGCCAGTAAGTAAGCAGGGGGACCAAGAACATGAAGGGCCTCCACTCCTGGCCCTGAGCATCTCACTGCCGCTGACTCAGACTGCTCTGTGTTTCAGGTGACCCCAAAGGGTGGAAGATGCTGGATAAGGCCACCCTGCTCCTGTTCCTGCATTTAGTCGCATGCTCCATCTCCTCTCCTCTCTACCCAGCTCTCAGGTAAGCTGCTGAGTGATTTATCCACACTGTTGCTTCCCACCTCATCTCCGACCTTGTGCAAAATAAGCACATGCCAAATTAAGGCTGCCAGCACTTCTGAAAGCCAGATGAACTGCATGTGCACTAGTAAGCCTTTCTTTGCCCTAGATTATTTTTTTTGGGTACACTGCTAGCCTAGGGGCAGCTTCCAAACAAGGCAGGCACCTGATAGAATATTTCAGCCCAAACAGTGCTTTTAGAATTGAATGCTGGGTCCTAAGAAGGGAAATCTGGCAATCTCCAGAGCAGCCAGCACCACCAGCTCCATCACTGATTAAAATTTGTGCCTGCAGGCCACCTGCATTGAAATCAGAACTGCAGATATTCTAGTACATGAACTCAACAGCTGTCTATTAATATTGCAAGTACTTTCTTGCCAACTGTTAGAAGTTGTGATATTACTTCCTACCACTACAAATTGACAGAAGCACAAAATTGAGTATTGGGTTCTATAACACGGATTTGCAATATCCCATAGAAAATGCTTTAGCTTTGTGCCAAAGTCATGGCTTAACAATACCAGAATTGCTGGAATTTTGCTCGAGGATGCTGGGAGCTCAGCAAGGGGAGAACTGTGTTTGGGGCAGCTCTATCAGCCATCTTTTCACTGCTGAAATAGCTTCAGGGCAGTTTCTAGCTGGATGACAGACCACACTTGCGTAACTGATGAGATGGAGATGGCTAAAGGAGAAAGAAAAAGCAGGAGAACAGGGAGTAGTGGTCAAGACTGATCCCTGACTGGCAACTGAGCACATCTTGCAGCATGTCTTGGGTTTGTCTTGCAGGTACAGTCCAGGGTTGGTTGCTGGCCAGGCCATGAACTTCCAGCTACAGCACAGCAGCCCATTGCAGAGCCATAACCCCTTGGCAGAGGAACAGGAGGAGGAGGAAGAGGAGGGTTTGTTAACAGACCCCACTGAGAAAAGGTTTGTACCTCACCTCTCAGCCCCGCTGCAGCAAGAGTGCGCTGGTTATGATCTTCTCCCAGCCCAGAAGCAAACCAGCAGGTCACTTATTCCCACCAGTACCACAAAGTCCAGCTGAGCCCTGCAAGTGAAGCAGAAGGCTGGGACCGTGCCAGCTCCCACCATCACCCACGTCCAGAGCCACGTCCTGCTGTCCCCCAGCAGAAGGGATGTACTGACAGAGGCAGGGTCACAGGGCCAGCACTCCTGCAGGGAACAAGTTCTGAGAATCCATCTGTGTGGTTGTTAGAGCCCCTACTTTCTAGCCCTGCCAAGAGATGGAGAGTGGTTATTTCTGTCTGAAGCACAGAGGACTCATCCTTACAACAGTGGGAACAGCCAAGTGGCTTCTGCTTCCTTCACACATGGATTTTTGAGCCTGGGTCCAACCACAGGCTACTGACCTGCTGGAGGCTCCTGTCACCTGGTCCCAGACACAGCCCTCCCAGGAGGTGACAGTGCTGCTGCAGGACACAGGAATGTCCCAGCCACTGCTCTGCCCTCTCCCAGCCTATGGTTCTCCTCCTCCTTTCCACTGGTTCTCTGACCTCACCTTGGCTTGCAGGCACTTCTCCTTACTTGTTTTAGTGTGGATACTGAATAACAGACATTTTATTTTGCCTGCTGCCTCCCTGTCAGGACTGAGCTCCCTCAAATCCTTTTACCCTCCAACACTAACTCACTCCATTACCAAAAGGCATTTGCTGTGGTTACGCACCCGATATCAGCAGTGTTACATCTGGTGTATTTTGTCATCTGAAACACCCATTTCTCACCTAGAAGGTTCATTGCTAGCTCAGAGAGCACATCTTGTGCTTATCTTTCACCCCTAGGATGCAGCGCCATGCTGATGCCATATTCACCGACAACTACCGGAAATTCCTGGGGCAGATTTCTGCCCGCAAATTCTTACAGACCATCATTGGCAAGCGCCTGGGGTAAGCCACAGCGTTCTGCTGTCCTGGGGCTAATGTTTTGCTTATTACACTGGGCAGTTTCTTTCATGCATGCAGCAGAAACATCCGCCTTACACTGCAACAGAAGCAATCTCTCCTGCTGTTCCACATCTCGAAGGGCATCCTGCATCCCTATGTCTTGGATGTCCCTAATCACAACTATCATTAAGCAGCCTAATTAATCCTTTCCTCTGAGGCTATCAGTGTCAGATCAGCTAAGAGCTCTACCATATCAACAAGCAATAATATTTGCAAATAATAGTTGCCATGATTGTTCACTGGTAGCAGTTATCCCTGGCCTGGTTTGAACACAGAAAACAGCCTCTCCACTCTGACTCAGGTAGCTTTGGCCAGATAGATCAGTGACTACCACTAAATAAGACTTGACTAGTCAGATGCAAGCCAGCTCCAATCCCCCTCCCAACACATGAGCAAACACAGCTGACCAATTTCTTACTGAAATTAAGCAGAATGGTCCCAAGCTCAGACCCAGCAGGTTCCCTTGCCATGCTGCTCAGCCTGAGCCAAGCTTCGAGCGAGGGACTAAAAAGCATCTCTGAAACAAAGATGTTTCTCATCTTTGTGTAACAGAAGCAGCCAAAGCAGCCCAGGAGAAGGTGTGCACGAATTCCTGACAAGGCGCCAGTCCGACAGCATCCTGATGGACAGTCGCTACCACCAACAGATGGTTCTAAGGGACTTCCTGGGAGCCATTCTGCAGAATCAGAGGTAGGTTCATTATCTGCTCACCACAGGAATAAGACAAGGTCCTTATTGCCATCTGACTTCCAGATGTGAAGCTACTGGATTAAGTATCATCTTTCAGATACACTCAGAGAATGAATAAAGCTCTTACCTGACCCCATAACCCAGCCCTTCCCTTACAGGGACAAGTAGGGTGCAGATCAAGAACCCCTACACACATCAGCACATCACTACGCTGTCTTCTCACCCTCACAATTCAGTGAGGTAACAGTGGAAAAAATAATTTCTCTCTCAATCCTAATTATGCCATCACTGTCCTGTTCTCTTCTTTCCCAGGCCTCAGGACATCAACAGCAGTCGGTTAGAAGGCCTTCCCAGCACCCTGGCTAAGCTCATGTAAATACTTCTCCCTTTTTCATCTCCCCATGCTCTGGTGAGTACCATTCCCTGCTCAGTTCTGCACATAACACACTGTTCCTCCACTGCCCAAGCAGGCTGAAGGCTCTCCTTCAGCAAAGTCAACTCCTACTGCTGTCCATGAAGAAGGGTGCTTGCTGCAATTTAAGGGGAAAAAACCCCCTCCCAATCAATTTTGTCAAGTACCTAAAGCCCTATTAGCCTGAACAGATAGACCATGAGTGTTGTGAAGCCACATGTGGATGTCTGGGAATAGGCCAAGAGCAGCCTTGTAAAGCTATCTGAGACTGTGTGCCCGAGTGCCTCAGCTAGGCTGAAGGCAGACAAAAGTCTTTCCCCAGGAGAACCTGCCTCTAGATCCCCAGGACATTTCAGATTTTCCCTGCACTGAATAGACCAGGAAGTCAATGTTTTCTGTACCTCCCACTCCTGAAAGTCGCCACCTGGAACTTGAATTACACTCTAAATCTTGCCAGCCCTGGGGGACTGAGAGCCAGGAGACAGTCCATCCTTGGGAATACCTTCACTCATACTAATGCCAGTTGTCCTGTTTGAAGCAACCTCATCTTACTCTTCTGTCCCATAGAAATTAAGCCTGTCCAACCCCAGCTAGCACAACAGAAAGGGGTGTGGATAGACCTGCATGCATACTGAACAAAAAGGAGGCTGGGGAGGGGGGGAGATCAGAACTTTACATAAATTGTGCCTGTGGATTCAGCTGGGAGAACACAGCATTTCAGCATCTTGCCATGCTTGACTTGGTTACCTTTCCACAAATAAGGTCATCCAGGAAAAGCCTCCAAAGAATGAAAACCACCTGTGTGTGCTTGTAAAGTTTTATCAGAATTCTCTTTTCCTCCTGCTTCTGTCTAGAACAATTCAGAGCTCATGGATCTAACTGTACAGTAAGCCCTTCACAGCAATGAAGACATTCCCAGATGTGACCAGCTGGAAACCGATGCATTCACTCCTCAGATTCTTTTCAAAGGAATGCAGCTCTGATGCACTTAATTTACTTCAGTCTTTACAATTTAACTCCCCTCTCTAAATACTCATCTGTGTACTGAATTAAAAACAAAAACCAAACCCTCCATGATTTAACATCAGGCTGCTTTACACACCAAGACTAAAACAACCAGTACACTTGTAATGTTGAGGACATATTACCTACTAATTAAGGCTTTCAAATCACAACGCACAGTAAAATTTTTGCTAAGTCATCATTCTGTTTGAAGGCCTGATTAATAAACATGAGGCCACCAAAAGGCACCTTTAAGGCAACTTAGTAAACTGATTACAGCCTCCTCTAAATAGATGCTGATGGCACAACCACACAGGCAGCTTGGATCAGGGCGAGGTAAGACATGAATCACAGCTTGGATCAGGGCATGGCAAGACATGAATTCACATGTCTACCACCCATTAGAAACACTGCTGTGGGTGCTGCTGTCTAGCTCCTCAATACAGAGCCCTGGCAGCAAAACTGAACTCTAAAAACCTCAGCTACAGTTACTGCTCAGCCTTGAGGTGCTCGAACTGAAAGCACAGCTCTGCTAGAGAAAAAGGAGATCCCTGTGCATCAGATCAGGCTGTCACTATGTTTTAATTCAAGGTGCCGTCCAGTGGCTCTGCACTCCACCATGGCTAGGGTTACAACTGTAAATGTTTTCAAAGAGTAAGTTATTAACCCAGTGATCTCACACAGCTACTTCCTTCCCTGTCACCCCAATTCTCCCATTGTTTGTGTAATAATTATGTCTTCAGAAATGTAAATAACAACAGGATGGGGTCTGCTTTCCCATCATTAGCAGGAAATAAAAGTTGTTCTAAATAAACCTGTCCCAACAGCAGGTCAAGATGGCTCTTTGTCTGTTGTTAGTTTCTTGATTCTGGGCCCAGAATGGAAGGTGTTGCTCCTTGGAATGGTGAAGTGCACCAAGGACAACTCAGAGCTGTGCTAACAAAGGCACCAGGTCCAGCACCAATAACTCAAGACCAGGCTGGAAACAGTGGCAGGCAAACACATATTAATGCCTCTGAAATCACCTCTCCTTGCACCTGAATGATTCCTTGACAGTCTGCCGTAGATACCATCTCATTTTTCCACAGGTGACAGCAGGCTCCAGCATGCACAGAAATGAGTTCACACTTGCACCAGTTCCCTACAGATTACATTCTCCCTGTTCAAGCTTTACAATTCCAGGACTATGGAAAATAGTACTAACTGCCCAGCAGAACGAGAAGCAACGAGGGGATATTGAGGGAGATGAGTGAAGCTGTGACAGCAGCAAGTGCACTAATGGATCATCTCTTACCCTTCTGCAGGCAGGCAGCGGCACAGTCAGACATCAGACATCCTTCTGCTTCACAGTACAGCTGGACAGAGAACCCACAGAAGGAAAAACCACCTGAGCAGGCCTGGTTCAAAATATGTGTGTAAACCTGGTCTGTGACAACTAACACACTTGAAGTCATTGGGATTTACTTGCTCCAAGGGAAGGGATTATAAAAAAAGCATCAGCATCTTGTCCCAAAACCAGGACAAGTAGTAAGTAAATATGGCAGCAAAAAATGTAAAATTCTGTTAAGTGGCATAACAGCTATATGCATACACGAGACTGGATAGTCCAGATAAAATCAAAAGGCCTATCAAAAACAATCTGGAAAGACCCAAGTCTGTATGAATCAACAGCTGGGTGAGTGCAGCTATCTGGAATAAAAAGTACTCCTCTGAAAGTTCAGTTTGCATCAAACTAAGGAAACAAATGCTCAGACTCTGGGAGATTAAGTATAAAACCAAATAAAGCAAACCAGAAAATGTCTGAGGAATAAAAGGCCAAAAGAATAAAAACCTTTCCCAGCACATAGCCAAGTAGGTAGAAAATCAATAGCAACACATACAGCTTAGAGAAGATACATCACAGTAGCACTCCATTAGTTTCTTTTTGTATCTGTGCTCTCCTTGGATAACGTGCCAGAGCTCTACGGGGAAAGTACCGGAAGATCTGTCCTAGCATGAAGCATCAGTAGAAAAAAAAAAAGGTTATAAAACAAAGCTGGTAAGTGAGCAGTAACAAAATACGAGGCTGAAAAAGAACACACTAGGTATTCCAGGGTAAAATACTACAGATAGTAGTTTAACTATTTTTTGCTTAAAAATCCCTTAGTCCCAGAGGACTTGAATGCAGCATGAGATCAGGTTTTTGAAGGAATGCAGAGGAGATCAAAGGAGTAGTTCATTAAACCTCTACAGCATCATGTTCACAATGAACAAAGAAGCAGAAACAATTACAAACAGAAAGAGTGAGCTAAGTGTGATGCTGCAGTGGGGAAGAGGAAAGATGGCTTTTATAAAAGTGGAGTCAGGTCTCACACATGTGAAGTTCTCTGGAGGATTCGGCTCCACACCCTTTATCCTCGTGCCTGCTAGTCGATATCATTTTCTGGGATGTCCAAAATACATTTGATAAAGTTCCTTTGCCAAAAGGCCTTTAAAGAAACTAGTCTGACATGGGACGAAGGGAAGCCAACAGAGTGATGCAAGGGAGGGAGCTACTGTTAAGTATTCCATGTGGAAGTTTCTCATCAGGAGGAGATTTTGGCCTTTGGTTATTACTATCAGTGTGTCCTTCCACAAAGCCCAAGTCTGCTGCCTTAACACTGCTTAGTGGTCTTGAAGGTAGTAATTAATTGAGAGGTTAGAGCTCAAACAACTCACATGTGGCCATGTGGCAACCAGCAGATTCCTGGCATCTGGTTTTATAGAAGAACAGAGACAATAACCTCAATGAAACTCATGTTTGGAATGAAAAGGTTACTTCCAGAGGCTGGAAAGAAAGTGAACCCACTCAATGGACTCACCAAACCTATCAGGGTCAGACACAGCCAGGCACGCCAGCACCACATCGGCTCCCAAGGCCAGGCCCTGAGGACTCCTTCTGCCCGAGCCCCGAGTGCCCACAGCAACTCAGCACAGCCCAGCACCATCCTGAAGTCAGAGAGAACAGCCACGGACAAGGAAATGCAGATGACAGTGTCACACAAGGGACAGGCAGGAGTGGGAAATCCACCCCAATAAACATGTCCCTCTGGGAAAGGACATGAAAGAACAGGAAGCTTCACACAGCAATGATGCAATGACTCATACGCAGAATTACCCACCAGAAAAAGCTCTTTTCATTCTCATGTGAGCCCCACTTCCAACCAGAGCCTCCGAGACAGCCAGAAAACAACATTCAGGACCATTCTTTCCTCTTTATTCACAAATCTTTTAGGATGAGGAGAGGGTACCTAGGGAAAGGCAGAATTGTATTTTCTTTTACCTCTTTTTCTAAAGGAAATTCAAACGTCCTGGGAGAAAAAAAGGGGGAGGATCAAGGGAAGAAAGGATTTTCTGGATTCATATGAAAAGCACTCAAGTAGCATCAACACAACGATGAAAATCAGGTTTTTAAAAAAGTACAACTGGCACCCTTTTGACTTAATACATATATATATAAAAAAATCTGCTTCTGCCTTCCTTCTTCTGGTCTTTCAGTTATTTATTCACTTCTGTTTTGAAGGCATTTGCTTTGTTTTTTCCCCATTTCTTCCATTCTTCTGGTACTAGTGTGTCCTGGAAAGAAAAATCCAAAAAATTAACTCTTCCAGGCAACAAAGCACTTCCTTGCACAGTAAAAGTGTCCCCAGACCCTTCATTCTCTCTCAAAGGAAGCTCATTGGAATGATAAAACCACCACTGCAATGGAACAGAGGACTGAATTCAAGGAGGATGGAAATGGTCAGACAAAATGAAGGTTAATTTCTAGTGCAAAAGACACAAATGAGTCTTGTAAATTACAGAACCAAAGAAAAAAGTCAGGCTGAATGTAAAGCCTGCAGGTACCTTAACTGCTCTTCTACTTTAAACAGGGACAATCTATCTGCTTGGAATCAGCTGGTCCATGTAAACACAAAGCAAATATCTTCATGTCCCCAAGAAGA